TACTATAGGATGAATTCCAAACTGATGAAAAATAACACGTACTATAGGATGAATTCCAAACTGATGAAAAATAACACGTACTATAGGATGACTTGCAAACTGATTTGTGTTTAAAACAGATGTCTTTGTTATTCCAGATATAATATTTGTGTGGGGAGAAATTGTGTTTGTGAACCAAAGTCCAACATAAAAGCAGCTGTTTGTGGAAATTGGAGAGTTTGACCGGGATTTCTCAATGCTATAGTTACATCTTAAAATAAAAGATAAATCACCCAATGCTTCAAATACGTGTGTTGAAATAAAGTTCCATAAAGAATTTGGATTTAGGAGATATCTTTTGGTCCACTTGATTTTAAAGGAAGAGTTTAGAGTCTGTAAAGCCCTTTATCCACAGGTCCCGTTTTGTTTTACGTCAATAAAATTGTAACAGTTAAAAAAAATGAAAGACTGGTGTTATTTGTAGAAACAGAAAAACATATCGCTACATCTGCAGTTATGTATGAAATATAATCTTAAAATATCATCAGTGTAATCTTAACCATGTGCTTTAATCCTGTGTTAGTTTGTCTGCTCCAAAACATGTAACAATAATTAAAAATAAAATATGGCCAATAGCTCAGGTAAAAATGTTGACCTATAGAACATTTGTACATTTTTCACTGCTTCAGTAAAGAATCACATCAGACACAATCCTCTGAATAAATTAATGTGACCCAGACCACACCATGAAGTCACAGTACTCCCGCTCTGTCAAACACCTGAGCTTGTACCTGGTGCACCTGTGTGACCTCTGTGTGACCTCTGCTGAGTTCATAGGACCCGTTTGTGTTGTCAGTGCAGAAATGTTTCTTAACTGAGGCACCGAGGACTCCAGCATCTTTGGCACAACGTGGGCATTTTATTTTCCAAACACCATCACCACAGCAGGTGCAGGAGAGCAGAGCATCCGGGGAAGCTCCGAGGTCTGGTCCACTGCAGTTGATGTGTAGTCTGGAGGCACAAACTCTCAGGTCCTGATGCCGCGGTCCAGCGATGGCTTCATATGTCTGGCTGGCTGTTTTCACATCCCCATCTGACAAACAAGAAAAAATTAATTGTTATAATCTCCTCTAAACATCATTATCCTTTGCTTTTATCTGTAATTTTCAAGTTTTGAATGTTTGCGTCATGGCATACTTGGTTTAAAGTGCAGTGGCCACACATTACTGCCCCATCCTTCTCCAAGGACACTTGTGGCTGTAGAGGAGCTTCAGACAGGAACTGACTGATTAACCTGACATGATACACATTACACGTTAATACAGGTCTGTTTAGTTAGTGCTGACGTTCATATGTTTCACTACTGTGGACATCTGCTGCTGTTTACTGACTGTAAGAACAGTCACATGTTAGATACAGAGTCAGGATGTGCAATACGGCATAGACTTCATATCCCGGAGATATTGTCTACAGTGATGAGAAGCTACACGCTTATTATGTCTGTTTTTTTTATTTTTGCCGGTGTTCTGTCCATTCAGCATACATGTGATGTATCATACATTTAGTTAATACGCATGCACACATGCACATTTTACAATAAGCCTGTGACATTCAGAGGAGCTGTATGATCATCCTACACTGCAAGATACAACAGAAAGAAAGTTAGTAAATTGTTTTGGTGACGCTTTGCGTGTAATATGTGCTCGACTTCAGGTGGAGCGAAAACTCCGTTTTTTATGTGCGAAAAGTGCAAGTGAAGTTAGTCCGAGCTTTGTGAATTTAATTTAAACAATATAAGGACAATATAATCATTCTGCTGCCTTAACTGTAAAGTCAGGGTGTCATACAGCTGTTAAACTGCTACGTTGGGGCGAACTGAGGCATTGGGGTGTAATACCCTTTATTTATCCAGGTAGTCTCATTGAGCCACGAGAACTCATTTTCAAGAGAGACCTGTTTAGGAGCAGATGGCGGGGGTTAAGGGCCTTGCTCAGAGGCCCAGAGTGGGGCGAATGAAGGTGGGGGCAGGTGTGGGTGTTTCACCTTTTCCACTCACATTTTGATGTTTGGCTCAAACTAGAGGAAGGATCTCAGGCTAAAATAATAAAAGACCTGAAGGATCTGGAAAGACTAAATTGAGTTCAGGAGATGACAGATGATAAATCATTGACATAACTTCACAAACAAGAAATTAACAAAATATAAAATGAACAATTAAATTAAAACATGGCAACATACGAAGACTTAGAGTTTAAAATATACAATGTTGAAGATGTGATTGATACAATTTTTTCCCTGCAATAAAAGACTGTGAATATTATAATGAAGAACAGTTTAATGACATCAATATAACAAATGGAGGTCTCTCTATTATTCACTGTAATAGTAGAAGTTTAAATGCAAATATATCCAAAATAAGAGATTATTTAAAACAGCTAAACAGAACCTTTACAATAATAGCACTGTCAGAGACATGGCTCAACGATGAAAACACAACTAATGTTCACATGGAAGGTATGAATTATATCATGTGAACAGAAGCAACAAAAGAGGTGGTGGAGTGGCTCTATTTGTTAAAAATGAAATAAAATGTAAGTTAATTAATGAAATGTCAATCATTGTTGATAATATCATGGAAATAATAACAATAGAAATAATAAACAAGAATGATAAAAACATATTGATAAGTTGTGTATATCGATCTCCAGGATCAAATATAGAAATATTCACTGATAAAATCGTACAACTATTGGACAAGAGTTTTAATAAAAGCATTTTTTTCTGTGGAGATTTTAATATTGACCTGGGAAATAAAACAGATTCAAATAACATCAGTACATTTACAAATTCATTGTATAGTTTAAATCTTTATCCGTTAATATCAAAACCAACAAGAATTACAACTCATAGTGCTACAATAATCCATAATATTTTCACAAATGTAACAAATGGGGACGTGATGGGAGGTATTTTAACGAGTGATTTGAGTGATCACTTACCAGTTTTCATGATTTATAAAAATGATCAAAGCATTACAAAAGAAATTACAATTAAGGAAAAAACAATAAACACATCAAAAAAAGCAATGGACAAATTAAAAGACGATTTACATAAACAAAGCTGGAAAGACGTGTATGTTGATGATGTGAACAGATCATATGATGAGTTTATGAATATTTTAGGAGCTCTGTATGAAAAGAATTGTGTGCAAAATAATTGTACAAAGAGAAATGTTGTTGACCAACCATGGATGATGAAAGGGTTGAGAAATGCTTGTAAAAAAAAGAATTATTTGTATACATGTTTCTTGAAATTGAGAACACAAGAGGCTGAAGAGAAATATAAGAAGTATAAAAATAAATTAGTAGCGATTATAAGGAAACACAAGAAGGAATATTATAGTGATTTATTAAATAAAAGTAATGGTGATATGAAAGCTACATGGCGAGTAATAAATAGTGTTCTGAAAAGTCATAAAGCAAAAACAGGTATTTCACAATATTTTTTGAAGGATGACGATGAAATCCATGATGAAAATGAAATTGTAAATGGATTTAATCATCATTTTGTGAACGTTGGATCAAGCCTTGCAGCTAAAATACCAAAAGTAGACAATAATGTGAACCATTCAGTTATAAGTTGTGACAACAGTATTTTTCTTAATGGAACTGACCAAGAAGAAATAATGAATGTAATAAAAAATCTTACAGATAAGAGATCAAAAGACTGGGTGGACATGGATATGATGTTTGTAAAGGACATAATGAGTTATGTTATCGAGCCGTTTACATATATTTGTAATTTATCATTTTCAAAAGGAATATTTCCAGACAATATGAAAGTAGCTAAGGTAGTTCCTCTCTTTAAAAATGGTGATAAATGTGTGTTCAATAATTATAGACCAATATCCTTATTACCACAGTTCTCAAAAATTCTAGAAAAACTGTTTGTGACCAGATTAGATAAATTTATTACTAAACAAAACATTCTAAGTAGCAGTCAGTATGGGTTTAGAGCAAAAAACTCTACATCAATGGCTCTCATGGAAATAATAGAACAAATAACTACTGCTGTCGATCAAAAACAGTATTGTGTTAGTATTTTTGTTGATTTAAAAAAAGCATTCGATACTATTGACCACACTATTCTCCTTGGAAAATTAAATAAATATGGTCTAAGAGGACCAGCATTACACTGGGTATCTAGCTGTTTAAAAGATAGGAAACAGTTTGTACAAATAAATGGTGTAAGATCTGACTTGTGCAATATCACTTGTGGAGTTCCTCAAGGCTCTGTACTTGGACCAAAGTTATTTATTTTATATGTGAATGACTTAGTGAATGTATCAGGACTCCTCAAATGTGTCCTTTTTGCAGATGACACCACATTTTTTTGTTTGGGTAAAGATGTAAAACGGATGTTGGAATTGATGAAGAAAGAATTTGATAAAATACA